GCATTAGAAGGCCTGAAAATTCTATTCGTCGTAAAATCATCCTGATGATGCGTTCCATAAATCTGAAGTCTGGCGGGGGAAACCTGTCTAAAGAGGGGAGCCAATCTGGCCAAAGTTCAGAAAACTCTTATGTAGAATGGCTGAACTTGACAAAATTACTTGATCTTGAATGCATCAAAAAGTCACTTATTTCTGAGCATCACAAACATATCCTGTGCTCTCATTTTTTGCCAGTTTACACACTGTCAGAAACGTAGAAATATTGCAGGATTCTCATTCACTCTGGTATAGTGAAAATCATTTGTGTATTCATAACGTTACAAGGTTTCAGAGTTCCCTTTCAATTATTCAATGAAGTAAGGACCAGTTATGAATGTGAAGTCAGTAACATTCGTCTCCCCACCGTGGAATGTCTGCTGGGGGAGGGGAATCGCTACCCCTTGCCCAGCTAAACACAGAAGAGGCACTCTGAACTACCGTGAAAAAGTTGGCTAACTGGGGAGGGGAATCCCAAGACAGAGTGAAGGCAATATGAAGTAAACGAAATGGAATTTGGGGGAAAGATGCATTTATTTTTAAAAGGGGAGGTTGGTTGGGGTTTCTTGTGGCGTAGGGTTGCTAACTGCATTCTGGAAGAGGTAAGAAAAATAGACACCATTTTGCCGTCATCCCAGCAGAGGGCTTATATAGTTCTGTGGTTTTCCCCGTTTCAAAAAACAAGGCAATCTTCAAATTTAAAAACAAAACAAAACCCTTCACTGTAAGAGAAGAGTTAAAATGCAAATGCACCCAAAAGACACGGAAATTGAGAGGTCAGACATGATACAGTCTGACATTTCGTGTTCCCTTAAAACTTTGGCTCTCGGCATTTATGCTCTCTCTCTTTTAGCCCCAGTTCTCTGCAGGTTAGAGGATCAATGCTGGCCATGAAGTCAGAGCTGCATGCTTACTAAAAAATCTGGCTAACTTTGGAACAAAAGCTATCCAAAGCCCGCTTGAGGGAGTGAGCATTCCTTTAGCAATATACCAACTCCTGGGACAAGCTTCGCTACAGGGAGCGTGTGTTCTACACAAAAACACATCTATTCCTCTCATGGAATGAGGAAGCTGCCCTTAAAGGGGCAGCCTTAATTTACAGCCCTGACCTGGATGGATTTTAAGCTTCAGGGCCCCTAATCCTGGAGAAGAAGGAGTCTCAGAGCCGCTAACAATCTCCTTTCCCTTCCCCTCCCTACAACAGACACCCTGTGAGGCAGGGGGGGCTGAGAGAGCTCTTTTCAGAACTGCTCGTGAGAGAACAGCTCTGCGAGAACGTGTGACTGACCCAAGGTCACACCAGCAGCTGCATGTGATGGCATGGGGAATCAAACCCGGTTTTCCCAGATTGGAGTCCGTGCACCTAAACACTACAAACCGGCTTGGGGGAGGGGGTGTGAGGGGATTGAAGCAACTTTTTTTAATGAATGAATTTTTCAACAAAATTGATGGAATTTTTAAAAGTGTTTGTTATTAAAATGAGGCTATTTTAGTGACAGAATCATAAGCCAATGGGTTGAAGTACTTAGAATATGCTCTAATACCCGTTTCATATGGCCTCAAAATGTCTCTTTAACTGGTCAAATTTCAAAAGGGCTCCACCCCACCCCATTCTCCACCATTTGGGCCTCAAGGTCCTTGCAAGGGAAACAAGGCCCTTTGGACCTTGTTCGATGTTGCCCTTTTGTTGCTGGCGGAGAAGGGGCCCCCGTAACAGTTCAAGCTTTAGGGCCCCAAAAATGTTGGTCCACCACGGGACCACGCAAGTCTCCACGAAGGCAGGCAGCGGCAGAGCTACCTTTGCAGGTCTTTTGCCTTGAGAACCCTTTGGGGTGGCCATAGGCGGGCTTCGGCTTGAAGGCCCTTTCCACCACCTCAATTTACAACTTCCCTGGTTTTCTGGCACATGTGTGGATTCACAAGCGCCTGAACTCTGCTTTGGAATGGAAAGTTGTTGCAAAAATTAAATGTTGTGAGCACCAGAAACAGGTGAGACCGAAAGCAGCGGTGAGCACGACCACCCAGTTCAACCAGGACCTGCACATGAAACTGGTCCCCAATGCCTCCGGGGAAGCCAGAGAGCCACAGGGAGCGTGCTTGGGCAGGGCCGTGAGCCAATGGGAGGATTCCCACATTGTTCAGCCAACACCCCCGCCTGCCAGGCACAAGGATGCCGAAGAAGGCTCCCCTCCCTCCAAACCCAGCCTCCCTTTGGGCCCCAAGGAGGCATGAATGATATGGCACGCCGTGCACGCGCCCGGCCTCGCGCATCTCCTGGGGATGCCAAAGGGCACCTCTTCCAGGACTGCCAATCTCCTCTCCCTCATCCTCCCCAAGAGGGAAGAGGAAATCGTTATTCCACCCCAAAAAAACAAAGAGGAAGGGGTGGGTGGTTGTTTGTTTTTTGCTTTTTCAATCCGAGGCACAGCCCGGCGGCGGGTGGAGAGCGGGACGGACCATCTGCGCTCAATCTGAACGGAGGGGGGGAAGGAAGGAAGGAAAGAAGGAATGTGCGGGCTGGGGAAGGCAACCCCCCTCTCCCCCCCTCCCTCGCCGCCCGGGGCCCTCCGGCTCGTCCTCCCTCCCCCCCGCAGATGCCGCCCTCCGGCCCGTGCGGGGCAGCTTGAGTTTATTTGCTCGGGAAATCACTTCCACATTGGCCAGCCGCCGCCGCCGCCGCGCTCGGATACTTTGCCTCTGACCTCACTCCCTCCTCCGGCGCGGCTACTGGGCTCTGGGACGGAGGCCCCGCGACTTCCCCCGGCGCTCCAACCGGGAAAAGGGCTCGGAGGAGCTCCGGGAGGTCCCTGCCACGGCCCGCGCCGAGGAAGGGCGGAGCGGCCGCCGACGTCCGAAGCAACTCTGCTTCTAGGGATGCCAGCCTCCAGGCGGGGCCTGGGGATCCCCCGGAATTGCAGTTCAGCTCCAGGCTACGGAGATCTGTCCCCCCCGGAGAAAAGGGATATTTTTTTGGGGGGGATTCTAAGCAACTGCACCCCGCTGAGGT